TCCTCCTCCTCTTCCGGCTCTTGTTCCTGCTCCTGCTCCTGTTCGTCCGAAAGCTCCCTCCACGACATGATATCTTGCGTAAGCAACGCATCGAGATCTGCAATCGCCGGTGGGGGTGGTGTGGTGTGCGAGTCAAGGAATTGGGGGCGAGTCGGGACGCGTCGACGTGCGAGAGGAGATGTCGAGGGTGAGGTTGGGTTTGGGGAGAGAGGGCGGGTTGAAGTGGCTGAAGTCATTTCGGCTAAGGATTTGGGTGGGGATGCATTGTTTGGAGAGAGGCCTGGCCTTTATATCATGATTGGTGAGGTCAAAGCGTTGTGCCATTGATGCACGCATTTGGAGGTATGTGGTAGGTGGCATGTGGCCATGGTCAAAGCGAAGTAGAGATTCCGGGTAGAACTGTTATCGTGGCACCCATTTTCGGGGCGGCAGCTCGAACCAACACTCGACTCTAGGAGGGGCGTCGAACGTCGAGTACTGAGTGGACGTGAGTGTGAGTATCTGGCTGCGAGCTCTTCGTCGGGGTTGAACAAACTGGCGGAGGTCACGACGATAGGATTCGACATGTACTCACAATCACCAGTGACCACTAACCACCGGTTCTGCTGCCACATTCATGTACTCCAAGTGTGGCATCGACTGTGTTCTTTATGTTCTCGAGTGATATAGTCACATCCGGGGGCATTTTGGGTAGGTCTGTCTGAGTCGAGCAGAGAGGTCAGATCGTTCGATTACAGGGCATCTATGCACTCACCATTGACCGGAATCAGGCGTCCTATTAACCACTGGCTCCAGATTTGGGTGGCACTTTCGAATAATGGCTTAGGTATGGGACCATGGGTCATAGGAGTAGAAATCGATGTGCTCACTTTGACTGCCACCAGCCTCTCGATTCAGGTATCCCAGTCGTGGCATCGCGATGCTATCAATCCGTTCCCCCAATCCTTGCAAACAGAGTTCATGTATTGACGTTGTGAGGATCCTACTTGTCAAGCTGAAGTCCGATATTCGTTAGAAGTTGAACACTTGTATAGCTGAGGTCGAGCGGATGCATCAGGCTGCAAGAACTGGAGATCACAAGTCGGGCGGACTTACCATTAGACCAAAAATCAAATTTCGATCCAAGTAGTAGGTCCAGGTGAGATTGTTTCCGAAGACAGTGGCAAATGAAAAATGAGTATGAAAGAGCCTTGATGCCGCAATTCTGGAGGAAGTTGAACAATAATGAACTGGAGTCTGGTAAACGTCGAGATGATTTGCAAATTCAGAACGCGACGCACGTGCCGTTCAATGACGGAAGTTTGACCGGCAAACTCCGAAGCGTCTCTTTCTGCTACTCCCGCAATGATCAACCCTCGGTCGAAATGTCCTTCCTCGTTTTTCCTAACGTGGTTTCTTTCAATGTCTATCTCCACCAATAATGAGGCCTGACGTATCTAGCTCGCGCAACTCAGCCACTACTATCAAATCTCAACGAAAAGGAGATGTGTCCAGAAGATTCGGATGCAAAAATTCTGTCCATTGAGAGGGCGAGTCCATTCTTCCAAAGTCGGAACGGCAAATACAAACGCGTTCTTGGATTTACTCTTACCTTCCGCGGAATCTAATACCTGGAAATTCGTGGGTCCTCGATTATTCTTTCCTCCCTCCCATACAGAAGGGTGACTCCAGGGGCCTGGCTTAAAGGCTTGATATATCCAGCCCGCTATACCGCAACCCAGCGTTCGGATAAGTATTTACCTCAGCTTCGCCAAAGGCCAGACAGACAGATAGGCTATGTGCACGGAAAAGCAGGATGTCATACCTTTTCTGATTTCAAACACACAAAACGCGATCTTGGATGTATTCATTACCTCCTTCCGCGGATTCAAAACACTCTCAGATACTTTAAGCTGAGTTGTCCGGATCCCAATGAATTTTTTGGTTCAATTTCTTTCTTTCCTCCCCCTCCCTCCATGCGTCGCTTCTCTCTCCTTCTGGGGGCGACGTTGATATCCTTGTCATCGATCGTGAACGTCAACGGGACACCAGAGAAAATATATGGTGTCAACTTGGGCTCGTGGTATGTCCTCAGGCCATCTTATATATTTCTCCTGCCAGCAGAACGTTCTTCAGGCTTGTACTAGAACCATGGATGCTCCCAAGAGGTACGAACTCTCACGGACACCCGGCGTAAGCCATCGAAGCTAACCCAAACCTAGAGTGGGAAGCGATGGGCGGAGAGAACTGTGACCCGTGCACTCTTTGCATTCGCAGCGAATTGTACGAGAAGCTTCTTCGAGATTCCTGTAACCCAACGTTAACTTCCCTGGCTTTTGTAGCGACCTGGCAAAAGCTTATCCGGACACGGTCGATCAGAAGTTTGAAAAGCATTGGTATGGTGTCCTTCAACCGCGTTGTCTCCTCTCTGATATTGATTTATACTACGCGTTATTCTAGGGAGACATGGTTCAATCAAGCTGACGTGGACGAGTTGGCCAGTCTGGGTATCAACACCGTGCGAATTCCGGTACGTTTTCCTCTCATACTCGGGCTAGGATTGGCCTGCTTATTGATAAGTAGCTTGGTTACTGGATCGTCGAACCACTCGTGGATCGCAAGTCCGAGTTTTTCCCTCGTGGTGGTATCAAACATCTCGTATGTCCACCCCTGCGAGTTTCTTTCACGATCCAGGCTCATCGTCGACTATCTGAAGCGCCGTGGACTCAACCAGTTGAAGAAAGCCGGTATTGAGGTCATACTTGATCACCATGCAGCTCCCGGTGTGCAAGCCTTTGAACAGATGTTCGCGGGGAGGTGAGCGGCCCTTGGGGTTTTCTCCCTATGAATCACAGATGGTAAACTCATGAACACCTCTAAGATGTACCCCAGACGTACAATTCTATGTTCGTTTTGCCTCTCCGAGTTCGGTTTCATGGCATTGACGACCATTATCTTGAATCAGACCGACGAGAACTACCAAAGAGCACTCACTTGGACAGCCGTAATGACGACCCTCTCACATATCGATCCCGCGTTTAGCACCGTATTCGCAATTCAAGCCGTGAACGAGCCGTTAATGGACGCGTATCAGACACCTGGGTATGGTGAATGTACGTTCTTCGTCTCGTTACTCGTATCTACTCCCCTCTGAGCCTCATCCTCATCACCCTTTCCCACCCCGGACCAAAAGTCCAGAAAAACTTCGTCCTGACGGTCCGAATCGTCGAAGCTATCCTTGGTATCTGGACGTTTGACGACGACGACCTGATTCCTCGTCTCCTCTTCCCTGGTTCTCAGCCGGTATCGTTATCAGACGCGTTGAGGAAGGTCGCCGCAGATCCGGATTGTTATTTCAGGTTTCCGGGGCAGGCGTTGAAGGCTGTTGCGGATGCGGCGCCGATTGTAGAGGAGATTTTGCGAGATGAGGGGTATGGGTTTGAGTTTGGTGGTGGTCGAACGAATAAGGGGATTGATGTGAGCTTAAGAGGGGTTTTGGATGTTGGTCTTCATTTCGGGAGTGGGTCGTTCAAACATAGGGAAGCGTTGTATACGAAGTGAGTTGGTTGTCTCTTTCATTTTTTTGTTGCTTTCTGTTATTTAACGCTCTCTTGGTCGTTGAAGCTTCATGGATAGGAACTGGCAATATAACAGTCCGCCTAACCCGGCAGACGCTGCGATTGGACCTATTGGGTTTGACAATCATTTGTATTATTCCTTTGGGGTGAGTCGACTATATTCGGACGAAGATCCCCTGGTTTACCTTCGTTGCAAGCACAGGGGGTCGCTGATCCGTACCCGGAAGCATATCTTATCCATATCTGCAGTGAGCGGTTCAGATAACTAGAGTCAGGCTGGGTACCTACCCCTATTCGACTTGATTAGACCTCAAGCGAGTTGAGAACGATCGAGCGTTCAATAACACGCCGTTGTGGTTCGGAGGTGGGTTGTTTACCCAATGACCACTTTCGTATCATCACGGGCCTTACGGTGTAGATTTTGATTCACAGAATGGGCTCTTCCGACACAATTCAACGCGTCCGATGAATTTTTGCGCAAGTGGGCTGACGCACAGAAAATTGCATATGGGCGAGGCTCTGGGTGGATTGTGAGTCTGAGTGTTTCTTGAGGAATGCAAGAGCCTTTAACCTGAAATTCATTCGGATTGTAGTTTTGGAATTTCAAGATCGAGAGCGGTCAGGAGATTGGTAGAGAATGGTATGATGTCACCTTCTGTGCCAATCCAATACAAGTACTAACCAATTCCCTCTTCTTCAAACTCAGGTCGTATACCGAAGGCGTCCGCCGAGGATACCTCACCCCCAACCCCGCCGATTTATTCGACCCTCACGTCTGCGACCCGTACTACAACCAAACCTTCACCGCAACTGCCACAACGACCGAAGCGTCCTCCACCACCACGTCAACTACCACCACTACGCGTCTTGTCACGACGACTACGACGGAGGCACCCTATACAACTACTCGGACTGTCACGAATACGGTCAATACGGCGCAAGTTACGCAGATACCTCCACCGCAGCCGACGACGTCGACGAGTACGGTTGTGGCGAGTGGGGTGATTACGGCGAATGCGACGGTGACGGTTACTACTTTTACGACGTTTACGACGACGCAGGAGAGGGGGACGACTACGACTACGAGGTCGGTTACGGTGGGGTCGGAGGGGGGATGGGGAGATGGGGGGTGGGTATGGTAGTGGTGAAGTCATCGGTCGACCACTTGAGTTGAAGATTTAGATATCTACATTGGCAACTCACTCATTTTAGATAGCGCATTCATTCCACTTACTCTATATACTCATTCATTGAAACACCTTTACTTCTTCGGACAACGTTCTTTCCTTGTCGTTCCTTTACCCGTTCAGTCAACTTCTTCAGAATATCTCTCTAATGCTCGATATGCACTCCAATGCATGAAGCCCGAATGTTGTGATTCGGGGACTCCCTCACGTTGGGCGACCTTAGGTATATAGATGCTCAGGTCACCTAGCAGAGCAAGGCGAGATGGCCGAGCGGTCTAAGGCGCTAGAATCAGGCGGTTTGCGAAGGCAACGGTCAAATCTAGTCCTCCGGGGCGTGGGTTCGAATCCCACTCTCGTCACTAATTAACAGAAGCCATGTTTTTGCTTCTCCAGAAAGACCATATCCTTGTTCAATTTATCCTTTCATGAAGCAAGTAAAAGTGCTCTCTGATGGGACTGTTATTTGTTTAGAACTCCACGTCGTTCCACGTTTCGCCACGCCCATTTATGGGTGAGTCACATCGCACATGATCTGTGACCCCGCAGGTAATCGTGTTTGCTGACGTGTTGCCACGTCCAAGGTACTGGTTTCCGCTGAACCACCACGTTGGTGGCCCCTGACACTCTTCCTCCACGACATATATCTTTTTATCGTACCCTCGTTCTCTCTTTTTCTAATCTCCTTTCCCACTATCTTGTCGAACGACGAATCGCAAGAAAAACAAACAATGTCCGATTCCCACTCGTATGGATCACCCACACCCGAACCCGAGCCATCGGCGCCGGGCCCCTCCAATACAAACCCGCGCAAGCGACCTCGATCTGAAGTGTCGCCCGAGGAACGACGAGAAGCTCGAGCTCATCGAAACAGGATCGCAGCTCAGAATTCTCGTGATCGGAAGAAAGCTCACTTTCAACACCTGGAGCAGAGAGTAGCTGAGCTTGAGGACGAGAACAAGCGGTTACGTGCTTCGATGTCTTTGCCGAGCGCCTCGACTGCGGGATCGACGGCGAAGACTAAGGAGGAAGAGGAGAAGAAGGAGAAGGAGAATGCTGAGTTGAGAGCGAGGATAGCGACGTTGGAACAAGGGTTGGAGGCTGTTGTGAAGGCTTTCACCGGCCAGACGGCGACGAACGGGACAACGACGATGGCGACGGCGGGAGTGATCCCCACGCAATCGAGTGTCCCATTCAATGGCGTACTCTCGTCGTCGTCGACAACGACCACGCCCTCATCACATCCGTCGACGTCGGCAACCTCTACGCCGCCTACGACGCTGACACCGTCGACCGATCTGTCTGCGACCACCGTAGCACCACTCTCATCCGCACCCTCACCGTCGATTCATGATCTATTCAGTACCCCAACGTCACAGTCATCCGCTACTCTGCCCTCGATACCGACCTTTGCACCCCTCACTCCGCTTGCCCCAATCACATACTTGCCAGAGCCAGAGCCAGAGTCAGATTCCACTCGCCACCTAGCACGGGTGGCGAATACACGGGAAGTTCCCCGTGTTTCCCTGCAGCGGGTGGATCTGAACTCTCGCTCGACCTCTACGCGTCCGCACTCACACCATCCCAAGACACCAGCAGCACCATTGACACTACTACCGCCTCCTCCTCCGATTCCTCATGCTCACCAATCGCTCTCGATGACGCAGCGATGGAAACTCTGTTCCGGGAGATCCTTGTCAACGCCCACCACGGACAGGGTGAGGGTGAGGATATCGACGCAGGAGCGAAGGCCGAGGGTGTACCATCTGTTGATCTGTTCGAGGGCGCCGGACAACAGCAAGCTCAAGCTCAAGGGACAACGGAAGCGGAGGAGACCGCATCGGCGCAAATAGGCGTTGGCGGAGATGTGACTGAGCTGGTGGGTTCTGGTGGATTGGTAGGGAGCGAGATGGGATTTGGCATGGCGGATATGGAATTTGATTTCGAGAACATTGGGATGGACATGGACACGAGTGGGATTTCGGCGACTTGGTTGAACGACGATACGACTAGGCTCTTGGAGGGCCTTGTAGCGTCGGCAAGTACCAGTAACGACGCTACTGAGCCCAGCACGCCACCGACGTCGATGTCTTGGGAGTCCTTTGAGGCTTCTTTGAAGGCGTCTGGTGTGTATTAGTTGGACGCTGTTCCCTGGTTCCTCCCCTCAGCATCTTTGGACTATTTTTGTGTTCTCTCTGCTATATTTAGTGTGTATTATAGCCGCTCCGTCTCCATCTCGAATCTTGTCTCCTCTACTTATTCATCATATACCCTCCAGTCTCCGTTACTTCTCTATCGTTTCTTATTATCCTTCTCATAATGCATTATCAGAGTCCTCTCGTTCCTCGTTCTCTTCACATTCGCTACTCTACCTACTTTTCCCCTATTTCCTCTTAGTACTATACCGCCCTCCGCCTCCTCTTCTCTCTCTCCTACTCACGCATCCGCGTCCCTCACTCTCCCTCTTCCCTCCACAGAAGTGCCCTTTTTGACTCTCCTGATGCATTGCTCCTACCTTCGGGCGGTGAGCGCTTAGGTTTGTTCACTTTGGGTTTCTTTCTGTCGGTGGGTCGGTGGCGAGAAGAAGGGGGTTTGTTCCTGCGTGTTTTTTGGGTGTGGGGAATTGGGATGTGTTTGGGGTTTATATAGTCCTTACCTACCTATCTGACGTGTAGTAGTTGGTAGCAGCGTGTCTCTACGGAGAATCGAATACGAGAAATACTTTTGGTGCTATATCGACGGGACGAGACTTGCTCTTATATACGGGAGGGCATGCTACGTAGTACGTACCGTGCGTGGAGGGCTTGACGTGTTCGTTTCGTAGTAGGAAGAATGGGGTGGTGGGAGCCACCGGGTCTGTACGTGTCCTTTATTCAGTGTGCTCTTGGCTTGCGTCGTTGAGAGTTGGACGATGAGGTGGAACTTGGTATAGATGACGGAGCAAGTCTGAGCAATCCATACCAATGCGTAGGCCTTCGGGGTCACAGGCGTTGGTATCGGGCTCCTTCTGGTGAATCAAAGAAGGAAATCATGAAGGGACCAGGAAGTCAACTAATGACCGGCATCATCCAGTCTCTGAGTCCATGTAGCTTTGACCTCGGACTCTCAACTCCACAGTGGCAATATCTAAAGATACTTATCAAAATGACACAGGAGTGAAGGGAGTTCGCGCTCCTAAGACGAGTTTCTTTGAACCTTATCGATTATCTCGAGACAACACATCGAAATGACCTGTATGGACTTTTTATAGGTCTTCTTACCCCAGAGAACATTATCTGCGAGGATTCTGCGCACCCAAAATACATACAAGACGTGAATAAGAAACCCGTGGCTGGAGCCCGTGATCGTAGTTCGGACAAGGAGATAGGGTGAGGATTCCGTAGCCAAAAAAGGCCCAACCGTTTGTATGATAACCTGCCCGACTGAACTTCCGAAGAACGAGATTCACCTGCCAGTCTGCCAGAAGATTCCCAATTCCCACGCCTCAGACGCGGACTACCAGCAATCGCATAATAGAGTGAATTTATGATTCTCCACATTAAATTTACACCAGATACTCCTTGGACCCTAATGCTAGATGATTGCCTCGGCAGTTTGATCTATTGATTTTATCCTTACGCCGCTACTACGACGGTTGCGGGCTCTGCGCTCTCATTCAAGACCGTGCCCGTCGCTTTCACCGCATCTCGAGATCTCCGAGCGAAGGGATAGTCTGTGTACCCTCTGCGCTCGAGGCTTCCCTGAAGATAAAACGTGGATCGATCATACGGGTTCAAGGGTATGCTATTTTGAAGGCGGTATGGTAGGTCGGGCTGCAGTTTTTTTCAGCACGAGTTCCCGAGTCGCATTGAGAGAATTTGACACATACATTAGAGATAAACAGCCTCCCGTATGCAACGAGATCGCCTTCCGCATCCGCAAGCTCTGTTCCAGACTCCAGATCGTAGCTGCCTGAAGATATTAATCGCCGCCCGTCCTCGGCGTCGTTTCTTCCAGGTTCGTTGGCCCAAATTTCACGGAGAAAGTCGTTACTATGATTTCCAGTCTGGTCTACATTCGGGATGCCATCCACTCGTGGATCGACCTTATGGATGTATGCAAGAGTGGGATGAGCCTTCTTCAGCTCTTCTACCAGATACGAATACGTTGGGACTGGGTCCTTATCAGTCGTCTCTGTACTTTGTTGTCAGCAAGTTCTGCTTCGGACTTGTTTGAAAACGAATATCTTACCTTGGAATTTATTCCACGGACTCAACCTCACCCCAGTCTTCTTCGGACCCACGGCTTTCGCGACCGCATTGATCATCTCGAGAGCAAACCTCGCTCGATTCTCCGGACTACCCCCATATGCGTCTGTACGCCTGTTGCTCGAACTCTTCAAAAACTGTTCTATCAGGTACCCGTTGGCTCCATGCAGCTCAACACCATCAAACCCAGCCTTATGAACAGCATTACTCGCCGCTTCTGCATAGTACTGAGCGTACTCTTTGATCTCCTCGACCGTCAGCGGACGTGGGGCGACGTCCCGCTCAGAGAATTGCACGTCGGAGGATGAGACATAGGCGTAAGATGGGTCCTCGGACTGGAGTTGGTCGGGATAAGCGGTCCTTCCGAGCGCCCATAGCTGCATGAAAATGTATGACCCT